TTGGAGGCAGCCCCTATTCGGGAACCCCCGCGTCCTGGATGAGAATGGCATCCCTTTCAGTCTCAAAAACAATTCCCCTTGGCTTACTTGGGCCAGAAGGGGTTTATATACAGTTGGGGACTTGTGGGACCCGCAAGCAAACGATTGGGCAACAACCCAGCATCTGCAACGAAGGCTTAAGCATGCCAAAAACGTGGGAAACAGTTTTCAGAGTTTGCAGCAATGACAATGGTCGCTGTTCACTGCAAGCATACGACCTTTCAAGCCCGGGTGCCAGATTCTCCAAACTAGTAAGAAACGATAACCTTGATACGACCGCAATCTGGGCCGGACTGATGCATGTTCGCGTTGTGGGGGACTCGCAAGACGGGTTCTTTGTGTTTGAGCCTGCAACCCCGGTGGCAAAACTCCCATTTGACCCGGCTGAATGGGAATGGCCTGGCCCAAAACCCATGCTCATATGGGATTACACAGTTAAAGGTGGGTACAGGGCCTCAAGGACCGCCACGGAGATTGACCAAAAGTTGTCTGGTAGGTGGGTGCGCGACTCCCCCATAGATTCGAAGTTGACAGAAAACCTACCGTGGGCCATGTATGCTAAGATCATGCCTTCGAATCTGCGAGCCCTGCAGTGGCAAATTATCCACCGGTGCCTGCCTACTCTTGATTGGCTGGTGTCCCGTACCGACTTGGAACAGAGAGGGCTGCTGTCGCCTCTATGCACCTATTGTGGCAGCACGAAGCCGCCAGCCAGGGCCACTTTGGAACATTGCTTGCTGGCTTGCCCCATGGTCACTCAACTTTGGCAATGGTGGGACGCAGCCTTTCATTTCCTCACGGGAGAACGCATACCATGGGACTTGGGAGTACTACTGCTGAATAAAAACCGTCACCTGCTGAACAACTGGTCCCCCTTTGCTGCTAATCTCTTCTCTTACACGAGATTGCAAATACTAATGTTAGCCTGGAGAGCCAGGTGCTCTTTTGAAAGGCGGGACCACCAATTCGGCCTGCAGCAGGCCCAACAAGTTTTGGAGGACAGTATCAGATCCCATACGTACGATGCGTGGAAGACATTTATTCGGGACTATAGGGAGGAGAAAGACCCTGCTGTTCGGGAAACACTGAAGTCATCCTTCTGCTTGTTGTGGCAAGACCAACACCAATCATTTTCCGAATTGGGCAGTGACCTTAATATCCACTGGAAGCAATGGAGGGTCTCAGAGTCTCTATGGCAAAGGAGACCCTTTCACAACTTCCAAGTACCCTACTTACAACCTAATTTCGTTCTGATAACCTGACATCGTAATGTATCACAGGGATCCCTGCTCGCAAACAGAGATGTGTGATATGCCTGAACACTACTTCCCCCCCTCCCCCCCTCTTCTCTCCCTTCCCCCATCTCTCTGCCCTTCTGTACCCCTGATGCTGTGCATCTCTGCCTGCCCAAGAAGTCTGATGCCCTATCCTCTATACCCTGCCCCTCCCCCCGTCCCTTCCCTGCCCTCCAAATAGTCTTCAGCAAGGACGGGCCAATAACTGGTGCGACTGCGATTGACGAAAGTGGAGCTGGTGGTTACACAAGATGCACACCGGAGAACAGAGACAGGATCCCTGCCTCAGCAATATCCAGGGAGGGGAGAGCAGCATTTCACAATGCCTAGCCACGGCCTTCCCTGTCTTGGGACGAGTTCAGAGATAAACCAGACTGCCCTTTGCTGTCGAGAGTTGTCACAAGGCGGCTCTTTGGTGACGAAGACAGTAGTCTGGTCTGAGTTGTTATGGGGGCTGCTGACACCTGGGATAGTGGCCCACCGTCGGCTATAGTGCACGGCTAGTTTTAGATTCCAAGCAATGGGCGGGCGGGTTCCTGGGGGGCATCTGGCCTTTTAAGGGGAGCTGTTCAAGGGGATTGGGTATATGCAGCCAATGGAATTTAGAGAGAGACGCTCCAAAGCAACAACTTCATGGCCTGACTCCCGGACACTCACTGTGCTGCTATGTTGTATCTAAGGGACGCTGGACCCGATTTCCAGCAGGTGCCGCTCCCCACCAATAGATGGAGCCTCCCGGGTGCTGCTAGGGGTGTCTGCTCTTACCAGCATACTTAGCATCCTCCGGGATGTGCATTTAAAAAAAAAAAAAAAAAAAAAAAAGAGATGAAGAAGAGTAAGGGGTGAAAGGAAATGGGAGGAGGGTGACTATTTTCTTTTCGCCAAAGCCGGGTAATGGCCCCGGTATTTCAAACTTCAAAAATTCTATTCAGTTGCTGTCTAGGCTACCAGAGTGGCCCGGGGTCACTTGCCCGGCCGGGCCAAAAACAATTAAAAAATTAAAATTTTGTTTTTTATTCTAAATTTGGTGCAGAATTTCGATGTGATCCTGAGGCAAAAGTTGTTCAGTTTATGTTTCTGCATAACATAGTTGTTTTTTCGGATTTTTTGGATTTTTCTTTTTTTTTTTTTTGGCTGGGACCTTCCGTGGTCCTTGCATGGGCTGCCCACCCAGGACCCGGGCGGCCCGGCTCGTAGCCTAGGTTGCTGTTATATTCCAGAATAGATCTACGGTCGTTGTGGAAGTAGATGGCCGGATATCAAGCGTCCTACCAGTGAGGGGGTTAGCTGGTAGGATGGAAATAGGGTACAGCAGCAGAGGAGATGGTGGCTCTGCTGCAGTAAGTCTTGCCGGAGTAAGGCAAAGAGTCTAAAAACTCTAAAGAGGATGGATGGGGGTTTCTGAGATATTTTCTGAAACTTTGCCTAGGTGAGTGGGAGAAGATGGTTGGATATCAAGCGTCCTACTAGTGAGGGGGTCAGCTGGTAGGATGGTAATAGGGTACAGCAGCAGCAGAGATGGCGGCTTTTCTGCAGTAAGACTTGCGGGAGTGAGATAAAGAGGATGGAGGGGGGTCTGAGTCTTTTCCTGAAATTTTGCCTATTTTCGATAGCTTGTTTGTATTTCTAAATCTAGCTCTTAGCCTAAGCCGGGTAGTGGCCCCTGTACCGCAAGCTTTCAAAATTCCTTCAAAATTCTATGTAAATTTCTATACGGGACGCTGGGCCCGGTTCCCAGCATGTGTGCTCCATACGAATAGATTGGAGCTTTGTTCCCATTGAAAAAAAAAAAAAGAGATAAAAAAAAGATGTACTCTCCCCTTAACATGGAGAGTTTCCTTGCCAGATGCCGTAGTACGGTTTCAAAGACAGGGGCAAAAGCTTTTTTAATCTGTGAAAATGTGCCACACCATTGAGTTTTCTCAGCTCAATGGTGCAGGTGGGACAAGGCCCATGGGCCATGGCCCCACACGCGGAGGTTTGTTTTTTGTTTGGGGTCGTGCGACAGGCCAGATGCAAAAGGAAATGAGGCAGCTCGTATCTGAGGCTGTTAAATCATGGACTGCCTGGACGGATCAGCTTCATCTAGAGCTTAATCAGCAGGTGTGAAGCACAAAAAGTCATAATGGGTTCTCTCTCCCAAGTACCCATGCTGTCAAATGGAAGGCACAAAATCAAGTCTTTTGGTAATGAAATTGAAAAGAAGAGTGTACCCGACAAGTGACGGACCAACCACAACGTTTCTAAGGTACATGAGCCTCCACAGGAATAAGACCAGGAGGTCCTCATTTCTAGCCTACCTACCGCTTGGTAGGCCAGAAACGAGGAGAAACGAGGACTGCCTAATCTTATTCATCATTGCATATCGGAGGAATAAGACCAGGCTGGTTGGTTTCATTGTTGAGGTATGCTATGGATGCATGTGGAGAGCTGAGTAAGGTGAGCAGTGGTCATCTGAATGCCACCCAAGTGATTGTGTCCCGGAGGTGATTGTGACAGGTGTGCCCCCAAAAAAATGTATTTTCTAAAGGAGAAAACCAGGGGGCGGCCATGGTTTGAGTTTCGAAATGCATTCCAAAACTCAAAACTAATGATACATAAAGTTCGGCAAAGCATGACAGCTTCAGAAGGCAAACGCTGAAACCAGAGTAGGTGGTCAGAAATTGCGATAAGACAAGAGGGTGGTTAAAGAGAAGGGGGGGGGGGGGGGGGGG